GGTGTAAACTGTCTCTGCTGTAAACTCTTTCTGGTGTAAACCTTTGTTGGCCTTGTCTGGTGTAAACGACGTCTGGTGTAAACCGTGTCTGGTGTATAGACGGTGTCTGGTGTAATCGATGTCTGGTGTAAACTCTTCTCTGGTGTAAACCTTTGTCGGCTTTGTCTGGTGTAAACTTTTCCATGGTTACTTCGTCTGGCGTAAACAACGTGTGGTGTAAACCGTGCCTGGCGACATGCACCATCATCATCATTATCATCATCATCATCATCATCACCTTCATCATCATCATCATCATCAGCATCATCATCATCATCATCATCATCCTTATCATCCACATCATCATCATCATCATCATTATCATCATCATCGTCGTCAGCACCATCATCATCATCATCATCATCATTACCAGCAGCTACGTCATTGCAATCGTCATCGACCTCATCGTTAGCTCATGATCACAATAGCATATCACGGGCGTATCGTGAGATCATCATCTCATGGCACATCATATTTTCATATTTGATGTCATGTCATATTTTCTTTCACGGCATGAGAGTTACATGTGTTTCAGGTTGTGTTGTATTTGTATACTTGGCTTGAAATAGACCCAGCTGACTCGATGTGTTATTGTAGCTGATTGGATTTTTTCCGTCGTTTGCATCGGCATGACGGTGACGGCTTTAGCATGATCAGCATCAGATTTGTTGTTACAGCTGCTTGAATTTTTTCCTTTGTTGGCATCATCATGACGGTGACAGCTTTTAACATGATCAGCATCATTGACCTTTGTGTCGTATGGCTCGAAGGCAAGTGGACTCGCTTATTCTCGATCGACGGTCGGCAGAATCCGATCCGTGTGGTCGGTAGGGTTCATGAACCAAACGTATCTTTATACATAGATCAGTGGCGTTGGCGCTTTGCGCCTGGCTGGTGATCTGGTGGGATCTCAGTGTCGAGGATGCCATTGACTGTGTGCTCCAGCAGCGTCCAAGCCTGAGACCGTGGAAGCGACGAGCATATGTCTTGTATGCACTGCGATCCTTGGAGCATCACAAGCGTGCCTGGCGTTGGGAATTTGAAACGTCGTGACCAAAGTGTCGACAAAAAGCTGTGAATTCGTGGCCAAACTGGCTAGAAGGACCTGGGTCCACGACCGGAAGTTGTTCGAAGTCGGCCCTTGTTCCGACTGAATGTGCAGAGACCCCATGAGGAACGGGATCCACGACCGAGAGTTGTTCGAAGTCGATCCTGTTCCGACTGGGTGCGCGAATATACCTGATAACCGATAAAATTGTGCAAACAGAGCTCTATAGACATCTTTTTTTTGTTCGATTGTTGGACTTGAATGATATTCTTTGCTTGTTGTGATTTGACCTGAAAGACCAGTTTCGTTTCCAGAGACATTGAGTCTTTTGAACAGGTTGAGCGGCAACAAGTGGGACCAAATGAAAGTGGACACCACGCAATGGAATTCCAGGAGGCCGGCATGTCGATGCCACATATAGTCACCAGCCACGAAGTTACAAGTATCGGCGAAAAGCTGTGAATTGGCTATTGCAAAGTGTCGTGACCAAACTGATTAGAAGGACCTGGGTCCACGACCGGAAGTTGTCCGAAGTCGACCCTTGTTCCAGCTGAACGTGCAGAGACTCCACAAGGCACGAGATCCACGACCGAGAGTTGTTCGAAGTCGATCCTGTTCCGACTGGGTGTGCAACTATATCTGATAACCGACAAAACAACATGAGTTGAACTGTGGGTAATTTGTTTTGTTTTTCAAGTGTTGCATTTGTATGAGCATTGGTTGTCCTGATGCCAGGTTGGGACGTGCGATTTCGCACACTTCGGCGGCTCTTACTACCGGGACTAGCGTTTGAGCTCGACCGGCGCTGGATAAAAAAGAATCGACCGGGACTACCGTTTGGGCTCCGAAGTACAGTGCAACAGAATATACATTAATAGATTTGGTAATAACGTGATAATAGTATCATAATCATAATGTATATATATATATATAGATATATATATATATATATTATATATTGTGTCATCTCATCATCATCTCATTTTGTTTCATCTTAATGTTTTGAATCATCATATATCATCTCTTCATTTCTTTAGTGCTCATTCATCTTCTGTTACTTCGCTTTTCTTCCCTTCTATTTGTTCTCTTCCGCCTACTTGCTTTCGGGCCACCCTGTCGTCTAGTTTTTGTAGCACCGAGGCCGGCAGAGCTCAAGATCCTCCGCTATCACGGGAATCCAGGCCATGGCCGTCATCGCGGTGGTGTCTATCGAGGTTTTTGGTAGGTTTGAATAGGTCCAGATGGTCGTCGAGTCGTGGTCTCCACATTCATGGAACCACCTGGTAGATCCTGGTAGAGGAAAGTGATCAGGAAAGGCCCCTTTGTTCCAACTCCATGCAGGATGGGTTTTGACACAACTCGGGGAGCTTTGGGAAGGTTGGGGTGTTTGGGGTTGGGTTTTGGGGTGGGCCAAACAGCCAGATGGTTTCTCGGAGAAAGCATCGTGGGTTGGGTGCCCTTAACCCAGCTTGCTAAGGAATTGAACGAACAACATCCCCAGTGTTTGAAACACGGGCACGGGGCTACTCGGGCTACTCATGTAAGGTGCTACGGCTGGGCAAACTCTATTGAATAATTTCATGTAGACCGCGTAGTACACCACAGCCGCCGAAACTACTTCGAAACAAATGTACTGCACAAGCTGGATTGGCTATAGTCATTTGTCGTAATGTGTGATAATGTATGCTTTAAAGATATGAAACAATATGCAGCACTGATTCTTTGAGGCGGTGATCGCAGGATATCGCAGACAGTAATGTTTTTCCACCGTGCTCCAGGTGTACGCTTTATTGAACACTACAGGAAGCGGCTAGCCTGTGAGCCTAGAGTTTCGATCCTTGCAAGGCATGAAGGACAGTGAAGAAGGGGCTGTGCTACCATCCAAGTGCTACACTTCTGTGTTCAATGGTGGTTCGGAACACCTGTTCCGTACGCGTCTAACCGTTCTAACCGTCGTACACCGTCATCGGAACACACATCGGGTGAGTCCGTGCGTCGTTCCAATCCGCCCGAATCCGCCAAGGTCAATGCACTAGCGTCGTGTTGGCCTCAGCATGTGGGTTCATCGATGGTGAAGGAAGCAATGCAGAGCTCCATTCAATGGTTTTGCAGCTTTTGTTGCCCAGAAGCAGGGCAGAGAGCCACATGGGCCGCGTAGACATTCCCTTAGGGCCTCAGCCTGCAGGGTCTGAGGAGAAGCAGCTGCCGCGATGCGCATGGTGTGGAGACGCCTCTCGGACAGTTTGTGGGCGTTGCAAAGGCCGTGCGTATTGCTCGGGTGAGTGTCAACAGCTTGATTGGAGATCTGGACATCAAACAGCCTGCACACCTGTGATCGCGCAGCCTCCAGTGACAGAGGTAGAACGATCCTTTCAGTTTTACGAGGTGCCCTATGTCGCGCGCTGGGCGATCAATTTGCAAAGGTGGAAGCTTCGAAGTGACAGTAAGGAGCACCTGGAGCCTTTGTGGAACAAAGTTGTTGCTGTAATGTAGTCTCTTGTGTTTTTTTTCAATCACCAATATGAAGAGGTCCTACAATATCCAAATGGGAGGGGTTTATTCATCAAGAGTCTAATTTATAAAATATATCTATAGGGCCCCTTCAATCGCGCTGGCTTCAAAGGGCAGTTTGAGCCACACGGACCGGCAGGGATTTTGGTCAAATCCTGTGGGACCCTCATTTCTTTTAATTCTTGGGATCATGGAGCTATAGAACCTCGTGACTTGCCATACAGATCGTATCCTTAACAAAAACAACCTCAGATCATGCTGCTGCAAGGGAGGCTTTGGGGCCACATGGCGCGTCCTCATGGGACATGTCAGGTATGCGTTCCTCCTCAGTCGGGTCCCAGACGAAGCTGCTCGCCGGCGCATTGCAACGCAAGGATCCTGGCCACAGGTGAAGCAGTCCAAACATCCGGTGTTCGATCATGTTCGATGCGCTTTTGGGAGAGTTCTTTGTGTTTGTCTTTGGTGCGGATTGCCAGTAGAAGTCATGAAAAGCAAAGGAAATTGCATTTGATACTGTGATAATGATACTAGACCGCCGCATGAGAACGATTGGGCAAGGGCAATTTTTCATGGTTTTGCCCCGCCCCACATGTTCAATTACCTCTGACAGTGGCAGGTGAAACTGGCTTTGGCCAAGGAGTTGACTGTGAGACGGATGGCCGAGATATTGACACAGGCCATCTGGACCAAGGTGGAGTGGACCCATCAGAATGCCACGGATCGCGATTATTTGCTGAACCGCGAGGAGTACGTTTGGACTGGCGAGAAGTATCAAAATTCCAACCGAAGATTTCCCAACTTCAATTTTTCGATGTTCGACACTGAGGAGTATCTCTTTCTGGTGACACATCCCTTGGCGATCACCGGTGTTTATGCCAGCGGGCCTTTGACGGACGCCATGCCCGATCCGAGGGAGGCCTTCGCAGAGGAGCTGGAAGGTGAGATGCCAAGCGAGAGCCAAGACATGGAATCCGAAGACTCCAGAATGCTAGGCGGGGTTGGAATATTGAATAGGTGCATCGGATTGCATCGGCCATACACCTCTAGGATCTATGATCTATTTCTATACCATTCTATACCTCGATCTATATAGGATCTATATTTCTAATATCTGTGGCATCCGTTGGGTGGTGAACTGACCTTCCCACCCTTCTTCTACAAGCGTAGCCCCACCTTGTAGAGGATGGCATGGGATTCCCATGGGTCTTCCGAAAACGTCGGCACCATGCCATCCACGTAACCCACCTTGTTACGGCTGTACTGCAACCAGGGAGTGGGATGCGTCTTGATGTCAGAACGGGTGAAGCTCTGCGCATCTCACGTGGATGTCTGGGAGCGGAGCCGCGGAGCCGCGACCGCACGCCACGCTTTTCGGCAGGGTCACGCGAGACGCGTGGTGCAATATGGTCATCCGCCGTTGGCCATTCTGGTATTCTAAGCACCAACCGTTTGTGGGCATTTGCCAGACCATCCATGTATGGAATAGTTACATTGACATGTACCCCATGAGTTCTGACCCTAATGTAGGTAACTATTCGAATAGATGGAGTGTTTCCGTTTGTTCATTCACTTGTTTCATCCAACCTGAAGGCCCTGAAGAGTTGCGCGAGATCTGTGCTTTCGACAGCGCCTTGGAACGCCGTTCCGGCTTGCAGCACGCCTTCTTGGGGAAGTTCGCCTACTTCCGGACGATCGGCCAAACCCGCGGGCGCCAATGGAGTCAGGTCGTCTTGAAGCAACACCCGACGCCTGACGACGCGACGGAGACGCCTGACGAGGGGACAGAGACGCCCGATGGGTCGCCGATAGTCGGCTCCACGCGGCACGCGCTGCAGCTGAACGGCGTCCTGCAGAAGCGCTGGCGCTGTGAGGTGCACCGCTGGCGAGATCAGCAGCTGGTGGTGTGTCGCGGGCCACCGGAGGAGGCCATCGATGAGTCTGGGGCATTCCGGCAGACGCAGGCCGTGAGGTTCCCGGAGATTGATAGCTTTGAGACTTTGATGTTGAAGGTGGGGGAGAGACTGGTGGTTCAGAAGCTGACTAAGACTAAGTACAGTTCGTAAGACATTATATGATATTATATGTCATTGTGTAATACTATGTGTATATAATTGTATATATAAATATATATATAGTCTAACTTCTATCCTTTGGGGAAAGGCTTAGTCAGTCCGTCGGTGCAGATATGTTATATTATGATATATTATGTATTATATTCTACTTTATCTATACACTGCAACTTTATGTAGTGCATGCAGGTGTAATCATTTGCTGCGTGACCTTTTCTACATTTTTTACAACATGATGACGACCTACGTGTCAAAGACCTCACTAGAGTTGGTCATACAAAAACAAATAAAAAAACACTGTTCAAGGAGGTAGTTTGGACCATATGGACCTGGTTTTACTGAGTCAGACTGGACTTGCAAGGACAGATGATGACGGATGTCTCCGTTCACCACTGTAGCCGGGCTAGGCAGATGTCCACCATCCCCCCAGCGATGTTCCACCTATAGGACCTATAAAAGGTGCCTTCGTCCGGTCGCGACTCGGCTTCACTGGACGCTCCAAGCTGCCAGTCGACATCGGGGCGGGTTCTTTAAGGACAAAGCGTTGGAACACGACGAGCCCGAGTTCCTCGAGGTGCCCATCCAGCAGTTGCTGCCGGAGAAGTGGCACTCGGACTACGTCCGCGCCTGTGGAGGTGGTGAACGAGGGGAGCAGCTCCTGGGATTGCAGCGTTCTCGGTCGCTCAAACTTGGCCGATTTGAAGATCAAGAGAGGGGTCTCAGATTTGAGTGGTCAGTTGTGTTTTTGCATTAGTTTTGGGTCCTTATGGGGGGATCATGACTTGGAAAAGGTTGCAAGCAAGGGTGGCGTTCCTTCCGTGAGTGTCCCATCCAGTCGACCGTTGAGGCTATCACCATCTTTGAGAAAAGCCTTATAAAACAGCCTTATCACTTAACAGCATCGTCCACTGGCACTAGCAATGGCATGTATCCAAGTTTACACTATGGCTGTTGCTGCAAGAGTTGAGGTAAACGCTTTTCGGACCTGCTAGGTCGAAAGTTTGGATCAACCGCTGACCTGAACCAGTTGGATCAAGTTGCGGATGATTCTCATTTTGGGGGTTACAGGTCGGCAGCCGCGGGTAGCCTAGAGTCTATATCGATCCAAGCACAGCTCCTTTTGCTGGATAGATCCACCTTTCTGGGGCGATACGACGTACTCGGCAGCTCGGGGGATCTCGTATATAGGTACTTACAAGATCATCGAATCCCACGAAAAGGATCAATGAGGGAAGGTTTCTCTACTCAAGGAACTTGGGAACTCCTGCTGCTCGCAGGATACGGTGACGCAGGGATATCCACTTAGAGGCCTGACACTGGACTATCCCTCCAAAAGAGAGTTGTTCTTCGAACATGTGAACATGTAACACGTATAATAAACATTTCTGGATATTGCATCAATGAACTAAATTAATAATGTATACTACAATGGATTAAATTTGTATCAGTGGGTTTGGGTTAGTTTGGGTGGCTGAGGACGCGGATGAACTACTTGGGCTACTACCAGCCAGACATTCCCAAAGTCTGAGCTCCAAGTTCGTGCCATCGCCGTCATCGCCCAGCCGAAATGGCTGGCACGGTGGCATCCAAAGACTGCAGTTGATGTGGTGCAGAGTTCAGCGCGGCTGTTTGGGTTAGGTGGAGATGATGTGGAGATGAGATAAGATATTTGATTAGTGAGTGGAAAGCGAGAGCACCTGGCACCAGGCAGGTCTTCAATCGCCATCCCTTGGTGTGACGCGTTCTTCCGTGTCCGTGTTTGTTGATATCCCCTCGAACTCGAACTGCTTAGCTGCGCAGGTGGCAGCTCATTGTTGTCATAGGCGGTCATATGGGTAGGATGGCACATCCTAGTGATGCCGTGAGAGAATAGGGATGCCGTGAGATTGTGAGAGACGCCTAAACTCTAAGCCAAATCAGGTCGGTTGGCCTGCTTCATGGTGTTGATATATAGCTTATATAATACATGCTTATACTGTTTTAAAAATGTATTTTAATGTCCCCGGGATTTGTCAGATGAAGTCCCATCAAGCTCAAGTCAGAAGTTTTGTGATGGTACAGCCACAAATAGGTGGTTTGTACTTATCCCCATCTGCAATTGTTTAGGTTTGTTCCATCCAGAAACTTACAAGCATAAGCTGACACCTCGTTGCCGTCAACAAGTGCAACAATCACTGGTAGCTTAGCTACCCCTTATTCAAGCTACCAACTGTTGTACTAGGTCGTATTTCTCCATTTGCGGGTCAGCTTTGATGAGCCGGTAGTTCATAGGGTGACTTTTGGGCGAAGTGACCCCTATCATTCCATTTTTTCGGTTCAGATTTGTAGCACAGTTCATCACGTCATCAGAAAACAAAGCAAGTTTCAAGATTTGTTCAAATATGCTGGTCATGATATGTCATGGACATGAAATATCCTTCGAATATCTTCGAATCATTTGTTTTTCTTAAACAGGTTACCCTACCCCAACAAAACATGGAAGTGGACAAGCTCCTGTTTGTAGAGGAGCACGTTGTATTCCAGGAGGCCAGGACGCCCACTTCCATCAGGACCTTCGAGGCTTTGTTAAAGTGAACTCGCCTGGACTCGCGACAACGGAGGCTCCGATACTTGGACGAGCGCCCCATCTTCCCCGTGGACGGGGCAGGGTGAGTGTTGGGCTGGGTGTAGTTGGGAATGGTATCCAGGCCTGTTTGGATCCGGGCATGGCACAAGACAGCCATCTAGCGAAGTACATGGATGCACTAAGACGCCTAGATACTCCTAGTGCATGCAGGGCTTCCCTGACATTGAGAACTCTACGCTGTGCGTCGTAGAAGGCTAATCATTGCTAATCATCTCGAGCTTAACGAGACAGACTGAATGATCTGATTGGAATTTCCTCTTTGAGGTCTTCGAGATTGAAATATTGGAAGTCTTGCCATGTAGAAAGCACATGGGGGCCACACTCATTTCCAGGGGAGGTGGGTGACCTTTACCTTTACCCCTATTAAAGCGCCTCCTGATGAAAAGACGGAGCCCTGAAACCCACGGTCGACTCTGGTCACGACCCTTCTGCCGGTCCATTTTTTTGCAGCGATAGTTCTTCTGATCTTTTTCTCGGAAAGGCCAGGTAAGCACTGGGATTCTCCTGGATTTAATTCAGATGCTTTGTTTCAAAACGGGACTCATCAGAACTGCACAAGAACTGCATCTCTGACATTGCATCAAGTTCTGCTTTCTCTTTCCGATGAACCAGTCGCGATCCGACCTTCCTGCTGCGGAACCCCCCCCAGGAGCGGAAATCCAGCGCTGCTTGGGCAGAGGGCGGCTTGCAGGCAAACTGGGTGGGTCGGTGGGAACTGGGTTTGGTTGGAACTGGGCACAGAAGGAGGAGAACCCTCAATGTTTCAAGGAGCATGTTTTGTGGAGGGTGAGGAAGAGAGGCTTTGGAGGTCAAATGATGTGCTTGGGTCCGTCGAGCAAGACAGGCGTTGGGCCCTTAGGACCCCTTCCGGATGGTCTGGGTCTTCATTGAACGTGCAACACACGTGAGATCGATCGCACGAGGTCCTCCAGCCGGCCATATCAATGTAGGTCAACTTAAATAGCTACCATGTTTACTAAGAACACTCACCATCTCACCGATGTGGGTGTGCTGTGGGCATGTCGCACCCGAGATGTGAGTCTCCACCCGAGATGTGAGTCCCACTGCCTGCGCGCGCGAAGTGACAAAAGCGTCGTCGCTGCTTTGTTCAGAACGGAGGCCTTACAACAAGCCAAGCGGGACCATTTCCAGGCAAGGCTCTTGTGGAGCGAAGGCTCCGGGAGGCTGTGGAACTTCCAGAACTGTCCTGCTCTGTAAGGATGTTTCGTTTCCAGCGCATCAAGTGCCAGTTTGCTGATTTGCTTAGCGGCTTAGCAGTCGGAAGTGTTGCATACATTATGCATATATGAAAACCATTGAAAAACAATTATAAACAAAGAGATGCGTTTGTCACGGATGGTGTGGGACGAGCATGGAACTGGATCGAGCTTTGTTGCCGGCAACGAGCACTACAGGAACAGTCATAGATAGCAGTGGTAGTTACAAGCTTGTTGTTTTTTGCAGCCATGTGTCACGCCTTGGCTTTTTCACAGGAGCAAGTCCGCTTGCAGAACGCGGTAGAGCCTGACCGAAGGGAATTCCTGACGCAGCAAAGGAAGTTGGCGATTGCTTCTCGACCAGGAATGGTCTAAGGATGTCTAAGGCATCCAAATTCCCAGTGATGAGCTGCCTTGCCCTTGGGGAGCCTAGAACACGCTTGCTTGCAGTTTGGTATGCAGACATCACCTTACCAGATGCAGTTGCAGGTGACTTGAGTTTGAACAGTCAGTATCCTGACGATCCTGACGTATCCTGTGACTTTCTGTTCTTTCAATGACTTACTCTGTTGTTCAGTCGTGGCCGGTGTCCGACGAGTCTACATCGATCAGCCACGGTTCAAATGCCGGGTTCTCCATCGAAACCCACCCGAGGCACGAATCGAGAGAGAGGAGCGTGAGCGACAAGAGCAAGAGGAAAAGCAGGAGCAGCGCTTTGGGGACACTGGGAAACAGATGGAAACAGAGCAGATTTGAAGGATCAGGTGGAGAAAAAAATTGCCAGATGTTTTCTGATTCATCGCATCCAGGATCATCCTAATACCCCGGCCCTCGCCCGGGCGTGGTCTTCACCTTTCTGGTGTTTTGGTGGTACTGACTTCCACGCGAGCCTCCGGCCTCCATGCGGATGAGAGGGGGAGGGTTCAAAGATGGGGAGGTCCGGGGACCCCAGCGGAATCCAGGCTGATGAGGGATCGTTTGAGACGTGTTCTTCGCATCAGGAGAAGGAGTGGACCGCAGTACAGCGAGGTGATCCAGCAGCCAGATGCTCAGTGAGTTGACCACCTGACACTGACATGGAGGGGAGGGCTTGGGAAGGCTTTGGCCCGGAACCACAGTCGATGAATGCAATCTTGTTACTAGTAGCGATGCCAGGAGCCACTAGTAGCGTCCTTGCTCCGAACGTAGCGATGCCCCTTGTTGCTAGTAGCTTCTTGCTACTAAAAATATCAAGAACTGGTTGATAGTTTGTGATTTTCCGTTTGGCATCGGCTAATTTTTCCTGTCCCCAGGGAGACAGCATAATATCGAGGATCAAGGTCAGGGCCAAAAGATACGTTTTTAAGGTTCACCTCAACACAGGAAAGCATCACAAAGAATTTAAAGGATTTTATGTTTGATTATCCCACCAAAACGCCCATTGGGCATCAAGATTCTATGCAACCTCACACCGGTATTTCCCCCAAGGAATTTTGTAAAATCCAGCGTTCCACCCTCGTTGCGGAAGGTTATGTTTCCGCCCTCGTTACTACAGACGAGGATGTGTATTTTCAAGAATGGTGTGGAGGAAGAAGTAGCTACTCCTCAGAAGTGCACTGTCACATCGGCACACCAAATCCTCACATCGATGTGTCCAAAGCGAAGGCAGTGGATGACTACACCAAAGCGTGGCGTGACAAGCTGCAGAAGTATGGGGCAGAGCAGTTGCGGGACGAGGTCGGCAGTTTTTTGGTTGGAGAACGGTTGCAGTGCCTCTTAGATTTCTTCAGTTTGGAGGACCCTTCAAGATGAATCTGCAGCCATGAGCCGAACACTATTTTGGCAACGTTTGTCATCCTTTCCTCTATTGACCGCAAGCAGTATTCCTTCCACTTGCTTGGTCCTACGAGTCACCTCTTTTCTTCCGCGTGCTGAATCAGCCGTGTGTCCGGTCAGGCGGCTGCTACTGCGAGGGTCTCAGTGAAGTGATGACTGAAGTGAAGGGCTCCCACCTGGAGGTGGTTAGCAGTGGTTAGCTGCGGGTCTTTTGACCCGGAGCCCCAAATCCTCGATATTTTCTCCCTGGTTTGACTTCAGAGAATTGACCGTGGACTTGGGAGCAAATAGGACAGCATGCGCCAGGTGAGAACCAGGGCAAGAGAAGAACCAGTGCTTGTCAGGCTTAAATTGCCGATCCCACATACCCTAGCTGCATTATCAAAACTCAAGTGGGAGCCACTCTATAAACCTCCCTATTCATGTTTAGTGGTGTGCTTGTCATATGAATGTTCCGCGTAAGCAAACCACTGATGCGCGTAAGGTTGCGTAAGCTGTTTGTGGGAGATAGGAGTTGCATAAGCTGCGTAAGCTGAAGTCTTTTTAAACAGATCATAAATCATTTACACTAGACAGGGTCAGTAAAATTCTGAAACATGCATGTCTGTGAGACAGAAGTATGGTCGAAGACACACAGGCTGTTTATACCAAGTTCCGGTTATCACTTAGTGATTCCAAATGCTCGTTTTGCTTATATATTTTTTGGTGTGTGTGCGTATATATATATATATATATTGCGTTATATTAGGTATGAACTTCCTATACATCAGTCGGTTTGGAGAATTCACATCGATCGGTATCTTTCCTTCCGACCTGCCCGTGTTGTTCGCTGAGGCGGGTGTGCAGGACACTCGCACCAATGGTCGAGCAAATCCCGCAGCAGAAGCAGCATTGGTTTGGGTCCCGAGAGAGTCAGTTTGCGGCGCTTGTTGAAATCACAGCTCCCAATGTGGTAGAGGTTTTGCATGGGCACTGCACTAGTTGCAGACATCCCGCCATAGATGAAATATATCGAAATATGAAATAATGACAATATATCCGAATGGCATGCGCTTGATCTAAATACGGATGGGTTGGAAGGTGCCTCGGGGGTGCACGACTGAGGCAGAAGCGCAGCGCAAGGCGCAGGTGGAAAAGAACAGATTGAGTGCAGATGCCTTGGAAGCGGTGCTTTGTGAAAGCTTTGGTTGCTCAAGTCAGGCTTAGGAATGGACAATGCAGCTACCTAGCACCCTAGAAGCTGCTACTTTGGATTTTGCGCGCTGCGTGTCGCGTGTGAACCCAAACATACATTGCAATACTCCATTGGTCCTGTATTCGACTAGTTGCTAACTCTTGAATGAGGACTTGTGCAAGGCATGGCCACAAGAGTTTGCTTCCAAGGCCTACCAAAGCAAACAGGGCAAGGCCGGACCCGGAATTGGTCCCAACGGAGCGCCTCTCCTACTACCCGAAGGATCACCACGCCAACCAGTCATTAGAGGTCTCAGTCTCATGCCACAAGCACCAAGGGGCGTCCATTTGCCAAGACCATTTCTGCATATCTGTGGTTGTGAGTGTGGTTGTGATATCCATGTTGCCCACCCACTCTAAGAAACGATGTGGATCTATTTGGAGCCCACGGCACACATAGAACAACCTTGGATCTATAACTATTGAACTTCCCCGTTTGTTCCACAACCAGTCACCCCAACCAAGAAACCCCTCCAAATTTGGCCCCTTTGGGGGTGGTATTCTCAGTCCAAAGCCTCGACAGCCAAGACCTTCACAGGCTTTGACTTTCGCGCCTCCCTCCAGAGAGCCGCTTGACCTCATTGGTGGCTTTTGGACAAAATGACATGGAAAAGGGCCTTTATCGGGAGAGGGAAGAACTGAGAAAAAAACCCTAGCAAACGCTGGGTGATGTTTTTTTGTTTGTGTATGTGCGCGCCTGCATGTTCTGATCAATCGTTCTCCTGGCCTTTTGGATTCCCATGCGCCGGGCATTCCCTCAATTTTCTCGTTATTGCAATTGGCCCACTGCCTTTTTGGGGCCTCAGGCATGGCAGGCCTACAGAGGCACCGCCAGCTGCTCGTGCAAGTAATGCTGGGGCGCTCAAGCGAGAGGGTCAATGGCTGTGGATCAAAACCCGGTGCCCTACATCGCGGTAGGTTAGCCTCCCTGGTAGTCTATTCTGTTCATTTACAGTGGGAAACCCAGGGTCCTCGTGGTTTTGACCCACTGCCGACTTGCCTGGTCATTCGAATTCTGTTGGATCTATGTTGGTATTCCAGACTGCGACTGTAGTGTCTCATGGCCTCCACCGGACGCGCACCGTGTCCCAGGGAGTGACCGATGGCGCACCGTTTGGCGTGAAACGAATAGCTGGATGGGGATGGAATGGCTTTCTGAAGGCCAAGTATCGCGCAATCATCCATGCATGTCCACATATTGTGCCATTTAGCTGACATGACTTCTTTATGGATTCAGATCGGAGAGAAGCCGTTTTTCGAAACGATTCCAAGGTCGCAGACTTTCGGCAGAGCGGTGCAGGTCCGGTGCGATCCGAGCAGTCGCCGAGAGAATGCCACGGATGGGCCCTGACAAACGTGCCACTGAATGGTAGGGCCCTGCTCGGCCCTGCCCTTTGCTGGAGGAAGGAAACGATGATGCCACGTAGATTGTGTCACATGGGGTGTATCAGAATGTGCTATCCACATCGGTTCGTCGAGATTTGCCATTGCCATTGCATCATATGTGAAAGATATCCAAGATTCAACATGAGGATCCTCAAGGGTAAGATTGCTTTCTTCAGAGCCTGGCATTCTTAGGATTCACATGCACGCTAATTTGATATACAATAAACTACTGCAATTGAATGTTATTTGACACTTGCCGATGGATAAGCCGTGACCAAGCCGTCAAACCTGCCTGGAACACCAAGCGATCAAATCGTTTTGCTTGCACAGGGTTTGGGCATGTTTTTGTCCGTTCGTTTTTTGCTCTATACGGGGTAAGCCTGTATACTATACCTGTATGCCATATTTGCCTACATTTGGGTGGTTTGGGGGGTCAATGTAGGCATCTATTCCAGTCCCAAGTGTTTGGGATATACGGTGTTTATTCGTTTGGTGTTCCACATCCCTGTCTCCATCCCCACGTCTCTCGCCATTCTTTTTCACAGCTGTGCGGTCCCTGGTCGACCGTCACAAGACGCTTCACCGGTTTGAGCTCCACAAACGCTCGAGAAACGGCAGAATTGGGGAGCAACCAGTTGGATCGTTACGGCATAATATGAGCTCCAGAAACGGCCAGCTCATGAGCAAGAAGTTGTTCCCACATGGTGTTCCAGGCATTGGTTTCTTAGTGCAACATTCGCGATTCTGCGATGTGATGCCTTGATATTTCTCAATATCGGCTTCATGTGTATTCAGCTGAGGCTACTTAGTGTCCACCAAGGTATCTCAAATTCAACTGGAGAATCGGACAGTCCCAACCAGAAAGAAATGGATGGAATTCCCCACTCCCAGCCATTTATGTAAAGGACCTCAAGCTGGCGCCATATTGGAACAACCAGGACATACCAGGACTGTTTCTGCTTGGGACTGGGGTTCGAGGTCGCCGGTGTTCCGCTCCCCCCGGTGTTCAGCTGTCACGGGTTCTCACGTGACCGGGCTGCTGACACCCGCGGAGGTGAACTCGACTGGAGCGACCGACAGTTCTCAGTGTTGGGAACCCCGGACGAGCGACGAGAGGACTCCGGAGAGGTCGCGCTGAAAGGTTTGACGTGGTGATTACAACTGAGACTTCCACAAAGTAGAGCTCTCGAAGACTATAGTGACTAGTGGCATCAACCGTTTAACACAATCATACGATCTACATCTATATACAGATATTACAGAAATGCAGCAATACTCAGTCACACTACTCGATTTGACAAATCACTGCCGCGGAAGTTTCTCGGCAGGTTGTCCGAGACTGACGCTCCGAATATTGAAGAGGACGAGGCGTGATTCTGCCACAACTTGGATCAATAGCTTTCGGTGTGGTTCAGTTCTCTACAAAGCCTGTTTGGAAAGGAGTGGTTTTTGCCCAGGCGAATGACGGTTTCTAGTTGGCGGTTTCAACTTGAAGCAAGCTTTAAATTAAGATCCTTTGAAGAATCTTGTAGGGGCATTGGCACAGGGACTTGAACTGCACTGAACTCCACACCTTGGGCTTGGAAGCTCTAGATGTGCAGGCAGCGGCACTGCAGATGAAGGTGAAGCCTGAGCAAGAGATAGCTGGCAGCTTATCCCTTCTCAGGTGGTTGTGAATCAAATCATGATTCAACATCAATCTTCAAAACCTGCTTGGTGAACATCCCCCCGAAATAGGATCTTCTCCTGCACTTGTGAACTGAATGTTCACCTATAAGTCCTATAAGTCGGTGGCGCTTTTGTTTGGCTTAGCTCGGCGGTCCAAGAGAAAGGGTGGCCACTCCAATGTTGCAAGTCCGGGACCCTGTGGTTTTCAGGGCCCTGGGGACCCGTAGAAAGTGCCGCGCCACATTCGTGATCGGCCTCTTTGGACTCGGCCCGATCCGGCTCATGGTTGAGCCGTGCCTGTCCGGTGTGGACACGGGGTGTTGGGATGAGGTTCCAGACCTCTGGCGGAATATGGAGAAGGAAAACAAGGACAGAGAGAGAGGGAGAGAGATATGTGACATATGATATGTGTGTGAACGTGCTTTTGTTGGTGCACACTGCAGACCATTTTAATTTTGCACTGAATGGGTGTCCGGGCTGTCCATTCCATTTCTTTTGTGACTGCATCGTTCAAACCAGGAAGCTGAAAGCAAGGTTCACGAGATGCACGCAAAGCTGTGCGAAGCCGAGCCTAAGGCTGACCCCATTTTCCTGAACCCTTTCTCCTTTTGATCTACTGCATTGATTCTCTCCACTATGACAACATGTTTCCCGGCCACGCGTTCCAATTATACTTGTGAGCCCGCAGTTTGAATTGAAAGCGAAGACAGTCACATTAGAACACCCGTTTGCTCTCACCGCCGATCAAGCACCGCCTTGTCGCAGGTCATGAAGAGCAAGGGTGTGCAGCTTAGCCTTCGTTCTTAGCGTGCCATGAGTGCCCGAACGCATCTGAACGCAATCGTCAAGCTGGTCAAAGGAGCGAGCTGAAAAATCAGTGGGAATCTCCAGTTTTCTGGCTTGCTTACGAAAAAAGCTGGTTCAAGGTTAGTTTGGGCTGGGGACCTTGGGCTGGCACCCTTTGATACATATTGGGACCACTGAATCATTTCCCAGTTGATAACCATTTCTAAACATCGAATTTGTATATGTTGCACTGGTGCGCTGCATTACTTGTTGGCCGTCTCTTTCCTTGCAAGTTTGAGGGTGGGATTTGAGGGATGTTGGATAGTAATGACATGTAATAGTACATGTAATGACATGTAAAGATCTTCGCGAGCCTATACAGTACACAAAATAACGCCATTTATCAATCTCCCGAGCTGCAGTTGGGGTAGGTCATCGGCTTTTTCAAGATGTCGCCGAGGGCACCTACTTTCAGGGTTTTGAGTGGTGCTCCCATTATCTCCCGTTGCTTCTTCGCGATCCACCGACCCTCACCAGCCGGCTCGCCCGCAGGTGCGACTGAGCTGGGGGACCTGGATTAGAAGTGGAACATGCGCAAAAAAGCGCATGGACCTTGGACCATCTACATGTTATACCGATAAGTTATATCATATGATGCTTTTTGTGGTGTCACCTATATATCCATCTACTCGTACCTTATGCTTTTGGGTGTCACCTACATATCCAGGGCATATGTCCATATGATGTAGGAAATCACATCTTCTCTGGGATTGCAGGAATTCTACTCTACTCGCATATTGGGGGGATTTGCAAACTGATATTTGCCCCCGGACATTAGCTGTCAGGAGGGAAGCCAGTAGTTTGTTTCGTTCGTTTGATGGCTCTCAGGCCCAGAGTGTAGCAGCAAGATATTGATTCAAAGCGACTTTGGAAAGCTTTCGTAGTATGTCATTTCCCTGTTGTAGACACCAAGAACAGATAAGCTGGTCAACTCTGGCCTGGATCCTTAGGGTTTCACCCGCATGATTCCCAGACCATTTGGCTTTTCCTCGAATTCGTCCGGCCCTCCCTGGGCTGTGTGCAGGCATGTTTGCCCGGCCAAGCTCTTGGCTGAGTGAAACATTACAACGAGCCAAGATAGAAGGCTGGCTCGTGCCACGAGGTTTTGCGAAAGACATACTGCGTCATGCACATAGTTATGCCGCTATGCCCATGGAGTGCTGATGTCGGTCGATAAGCGGTTGACCCATTTTAGAATGGCTTTGCACCGGCCAAAATAGGAGCGCGGGCATGAGGAGGGTGGGTTTGTGTCAAGGTTGAATGAAAGATTTGCAGAGGATGTGTATAAGCAGTAGTATAAGCAGTATTAGTATAGTTGTTTCCTTCATGTTTTTGCCCATTTACCCTGCCAAAAGCTTCCTATGTGGTCCAGTTTGTGTGTAGCGTGCCCATTGTTCACACACCTGTAGCATCCTGTAGCCAACACAAAACGATTGGCCTCAAGGGCCGGATATCTCCGAATTCTTGGGCAAGACGCGCGCATAGATCACACGCAGTTCGTGAACGGTCACAACGAAATAGATGTGCGGCTGCGGCAGCTTATCCGGTCCGATGGCAACACGAGTCTAGCAACTCTGCAGGCGCCAGTGAAACACGTGGTTCTCCACGCATTTGGCAGGTTCTCCACGCCACCTGGACCTAGCTGCTGGAATGGGTCTACCAGAAGGTCATTTCCCAATATTCCCAACATGATAGGCACATGTCAACCATTTTGCACTCATCCGTCGACGGGCTTTTGGACGAGGCGAATCGCCGCATGCAAGGCAGAAGAACTTCAGTTTCAGGTCTAGCTACCCATGTTAGTCTTGACCCATCATGTCCTGGTATGGTGATGGAGATGCCACAGAGAATGGTGGCCTGTTTTGTCACTCGGTGGAAGGGTGGCCAGAGGTGCAGGGTGGCCAGGGTGGTCTGTGTTTTTGGTCAGTGTTTACGTTCCTGGTGACCAGCATGGCCTTTTTGTAGATGCAGGGCCTCTATGTTGGTCAGAGCCACATGATATGATATTTGAGATCGTGCCATCCTGCTTTGGTTGGTGATCGTTGGGACTTGGTGTTTGGATTGAAGGTATCGGCATCAGTGACTTCTCACAATTAACATTGTCAAGTCAGGATGACATACACGTTTTTGATGGCGGGTTGGATCTATCGATGCCCTGAGGCGATACCCAGATATGGTGGACGAGGAACGGACCCCTAGGCGTGATTTTTTTCGATAGAAATCAGCATGAACGCCGTTCCAAGACTATTGACACACCACCCTTGAGCCAAAATGGTGTGGGTCAGACGAAGTTTTTAAATCATATACATGTTCCATTTCGCTGCTGCTCCTCAGAGTGAGCACAGCGGCACCACAAGTCAGTGATGACCTCAGCGGCACCATCCCACTTCCACAGCGGCACCGCGCTGGAACCCCCCTCCCCACCGCCACGGACCTCCGGTCTACGGTCAGAGCGGAGCGAGGCGTGGCCTGCGGCCTTCCGGGCGCCGAGTGGCGCTGTGCGCGGTGCAAGGCACCCTACTGCTCTGTGCCTCGGCGGCGGGTTCAGCGGTGCTCCGAGCCGGAAAACGCCGCGCGCCCCCGGCCCGAAGATGGAGAAGAAATGGAGAAAAGCATAGAACAAAAAATGGTATAATATACCAGCGACACCACTCACATAGAAATTTCAACGTGACCTCAATTTTCATACGAATTTCATATTTTTCAACGTGGGTCCGGTTGTTTCAACGTGAGTCCGGTTGTTTTCACGTCGGTCCGGATGTTTTAACGTGAGTGAATTTCTCCGGTTTTTTGGTGTCAATCTTCCCATATGATAGATCTTCCTTTTTATCATGGTAGCAACGCAGCGTAAGCAATAATTCGCATACAGGCCTTAAAACGATGACAGTGGAGGCAGCAAATCAATGAATCCATCATGGTGAATGTAACCCAATAAGGCGAACTCAATGATATCAATAAAGTCAAATTGCAAGTAATCAAGTATCTGCCTCATGCCGCCACCGCTTCCAAAGACTCGTCAAGTACAAGTCCAAGCCCCTCCAAATGGTTTGCTTAGGTGAGACCCTACGCGAGTATCTGCTAATTATGCCAACAAAACTTTCATCCTGCTGACAGGAATCAGTGATGGGTGACTCCACCCATTGCAATTTTTTGCGCATGCTTGTAAAGTGTGGAAAATATGCCACAATTGGTGAAACTTGGAATGAATGGGGAATCTAGGTTCTCTCATTTGTAGGCTCAGGTCTGCCAATCGACGGTAGCAACGAAGAGTTTGCATGCCCAACGCACCAATCCTTTCCGCTTCACCCGTTCTCAACCATGTTCCTTTGGAGAAGAGCTCTCGAAACACAGCATTAATTGAGCGCAGCGCAAGCAAGATCAGAGAAATACGCTGATCGCAATTCAAATGGTTCCTCACAACAGGTTCCATCATCTCTTGTTCCAACCATTCCTGAGAACAGTTCTGATGGTTTGGCAACCAACTTAAACAGTTATGAAAAAAATTGATAATGTCCTACCCTACCACTAGTGGAATTCCAAGAGTCGCACAGGAGGGTTGTAGTGTCTGCTTTTTGCCAATTGCCCTCTGGCCAATCCAAGGGTCCATAATTGACAGTTGCGCTGGAAATCCTCTGCAGGATAGGTCGACGCTTGCGATCTTGACAATATTGTCTCCATCTGGCCGTCATGGCGTCAAACTTGTCTGGCACATTAGAACCTGGGTAAAGCGGCATCAAAAGCACAATTGCCGAAGACAAGAAGTATCTGCCGGCACCTAGATGCCATGCATGCCACATGTCTGGTCGGTAGAATTGCGGCAAATTGCCAGGCATTTGCGGCAAGAATCTTGTCAAAGCACTTGGGACATCCCAGCACACGGCTGCAGCGGCTCCAGTCATCGTTGGGAGAAACCGTGGACACTCACCACAGTCAGTGAAAGGAAATCCTTCTTGTCCGGCAAGGCACATATGGCATACCCCCAGGGCATGACACTGGCTCTGCCCTTTCTTCCTTAACTGCTGCTGCCGGAACATATAAATTAATGATCTGTGAATTATATCAATTGCAAAAATATTCTTGTCCCGTAAATCAATTGCAAAAGCAAAAATGCAGACCAATGTCGGAGCCCGCCGAAAATGACGCAGCAAGTTGCCTGCTGTGATGAGCCATGGCCAGTCTCCTTTTATGCTGACAACGGCCAATCTTACTTTGTAGCCATTGTCCAGGCAAATTCCATCTTGCAAAGCTTTCCGCAAGTCCAAGGCCAAAAACTCTAAGGCATCTGGCAAGACTTCTTCGTCCTCCTGGTATGTCTCCTTCAACGCTGCGAAAGCTAAAAAGCGGGACTCCTCCGGATGAAGAAGCAGATTCAGGTGCATAGGGTCATCTTTTGGAAGCATATTTTGAGGTCGATCTTCCTCATGCGAGCATCCACGGCCCAGCACAGGCTGCCAATTCATCAGCATGATAGGCATCTTCTTTTTGCCTGACTGCATCCAGTAAAGTCACGTCCAAGGCAATTAGTGTTAAAGATTAGACGCCCCCAAAAATATACTGTCATCGCCAAAGATGCTGCGTCCCTCATCGCCATGAAATTTACAAGGAATTGTGAACTGAAGAAATTCTTCTGGCACACTCGTAAATACCTCGTGGTCAGATCCAAATTGCTTGCGAAATCGCTGCCAGTATTCCTGCAGAATGGGCATGGAGGATTCCATGCCACTCGCAGGAAGCAGCAAGTCCAAGCGGTTGTGCTTGTCCAAGGCCTTGACAAAGTCTGAGGGCCGAATGATGGGATGGTCCTTCGCTTGCCCTAGGTTTGCTTTTGAGATATCCAGAGATGCACGCATCGCTGCACGATCCAACGCTCGAAAGGTATCTCTTGCCTTGGATGAGATTCAATACCTGTAATATCCAACATTGCACTTCAAAAAAATTGATGTAATCAACCCCCAACAGATCCCAAGGCCCAAAACTACTGAAAACAATGGTCCATGAATAATTGCATTGCGAAAATCAGGTCACTGCATGCTTAGCCCCAACCTTCGCGATTGATTTTAAGAAGGGATCAGTACGATGAAAGCCATTCTCCAAGTCATCGGCAACAATTGCCGATGCGTGCTCCACAAGCTGAGCTGCAGGTACCTTCAAAACCGGACTTGCAAGAAAACACAACATATATAGCTGCCGTACTCTGCCTTACTCTGCCTCTACTGTAAAACAATTAATGTGTTAAATTGACATGGATCACTGCATCCCAAGCACACCGCGAGCCAAGCTATTGGCCAAACTGCGCGCTGTAGCACTTGGTCGGAAGGATTTTGGACCAGCAGCAGGTTTTGCTGGGACGGTGGATGGACCTGGCATGGTGTAGCTGTAGCCTTTTATGGAATGCCTGCACACGCATCTGCACGCATCAGACTGCGCTACAATGGTATATTTTTCTTCATGGTGCCTGCATGTTCATCACACAAACTAGAAGCAACACCCGAATGCAGGGGCTTGCAGTTCCCAATGGCCACCATATACAAATGATTAGCATTGTTTAAAGGGAATGTATGTGGGAAACAAAGCTGCAGCCTTCTATGCTCCAGGGTGGCCAAAATTATAGCCCAGTGTGGCCCTTTCATGGACCAACCCCCAACACGCACACCTACTCATTTCAGAGCAGGAAGGCGCAAGGCATCAGAAATCTCTCTCTCGGATTTCCACATTCTAAAAAAACCGGCCAGTCTCAAGTGAACTTGTAGATCACTCATCGTTCTTTTGCTTCTTGCCTCTGCCCTTTGGCTTAGCCTTTGCCTTCACTTTGGGAGCAGGAGCCCCAGACGCCTCCTCGTTACCCAGACCTCCCTCCTCAGATTTGCGCTTCTTGCTTTTCGCGATCTCAGGGGCCAAGAGCTTGTAAATATGCTCTTTGACCATCACGCTCACACACCTTAATGCATGCGGTTCCTACATTATTTGGGGTTTGGCCACTACGCCCACAACCTCCAAAAAGTGTAAATAAGGTCACATGCCAAGGCACAACTTGCTAGCATTTGCCTTTGCCTTCGCAATCTCATCCATGAGCCTTTGAATGGAACACCAAATATTGTACTGAAGGGAAATCAAACAAATCAATGTTAAACAATGTCTATAAATAGTGTTCGCACAGTAGCCCATCCATCTGAACGCTGTTCTCCAGCTTGTGTTGGCACTCGGCAAGGGCCAAAAAGCTTCCTTCCATTTCCTCAAGTATTTTCTTGCAGTCTTCAACAAACCTTGGTAGACATTCATGGTCTCAAATGTGATGCATGAACATTAATGAACAATTGTGAAACAATACAACTAAAGATACAGCAATAATCAATAATCCATCCAAAATGCTTGCTGCTGCGGTCTGTCGGACTTGGATTGGACGGTGGCTCAGCAGCAGAAATCCAAGAAGTCAAGGAGGCCGCCTTCTGGTGCATTGATTCGATGAACTTGTTCAGGCCTTCACGTGCCTCTGCTACAGTACCGATCTGTTGAGCATGACCCTGCATAGGGCCAGGGCCATTAGCGATTGCTGCAGCCTTTGATTCATCCACCAAAGCCTTTGGGGCAGGTGCCTCTGCAATTGCCTGGGGCAACAGATGTGAAAAAAGAACGACAAGCACGCAACATCAGACTAATTAATGCAAAGCGATCAACAACGACTGAACTCATGAGCATTTAACGGATCTTTGCATCCCGAAAACAAAAACAAGCCTGCGGGTCGAGCTCTTCAAGATGACGAACCTTTTCCAAGTCACTCTTCTTGATCCGTACACGCTCGCTTGTCTCGATGAAGTACTCAAGTTGGGTGTCATCGTACTTGAAAGGCCTAGTGGCAAGATTTAGCCAGACACATCGATCTAATAGAAATTTACAGCGTTCAAAATGTAATAGTGTACCCATCAACCCTCACCTCGTCAATAGTCCCTTGAACCTCAAGCAGTAAGCTTTCACTTTGGCGATCAAAGCCCTGAGTCAGCCAGAGAATCACAATGTTGCATGGCAACAATAGCCGCACATCAGCGACAAAACAGCTTATAGTAAAACAAAATGTACACTGTTAATTGAACTTCAAGAAACTTGGAGTATCCCAAGTCAGAGGCCATTCGCTCTTCAGTATACCATCCGCCTTCCAACTCTTGTTCACGCAGCTCTGCCTGCTCACGGATTCGCATCACCTGTGTTGTAAATTCTGCCTGCAGGAAAAGAGGCTAAGCGAAGCCTATACATCAGATATTGGATCAATATCAGATATTCGATCAATATTGCTTTAACAATCTTTAACACAACATTTTGTAGCCACACCCCCGACCCTCACAAGGTCCCTTGTCTTCTTGCTGTTGTTTGTCCCGTGCAACTTGAGTGCCCTGACCAACCCCAGAGTCAATTGTTCACGACATCCGGTCTTCCACTGGTCATGGATATCCGATGAGACGTTCAACTTACCTGTGCCGGTCTTCTCACACAATCTGCGAAGCCGCATGTAGAGTGCGTGAGGTGACAATTCCT